GGCGGCGTGTGAGTACTTACATTGTCACTAGATGGCGACACTGACACGCTGACACACGCCACCGCTTGCTGCTAAACTACCTTGTACAGTCGCGATGTCTGTCGGTGTCGGTGTATCAAATACAAATATTACAACGTTAAATACACATTGATATGTAGAACATTAACTATTAGGCAGTTTTCGATTCAGCTTTTTCAATTTTAAGACAATTAATTGATTAATTAATAGAAAATATCGAGTCTTTTAAGATTTTTTCTATCAATTCTTTGTTTCTTTGTTTACTTTACTATTTTTTTATCTTCATTGTTTTTTTAACGATTATTATACTATACTATTATTTATTTTGTTAATTTGCCAAAACTAACGTAGTAAGAGGTAAAAGTAGTAAGGGTCACAATCACAAGGTCAATAACAAACGAAACAAAATGTATAGCCAATAATTTATTCATACATTCTACATAAAGTACTGACAAAAAGAGCCACATTATACCAGCAGAAATACTAGTAACAAATTTACAAATACTACGAAACAAGCATTATAATTTTATTTAAATAATGATTCTTTATTATATCGTGATAAAGTTTTATATAAAACGTGTATATGCAATAAAATTATTTCACTTTCAAACGTCTAAGGCAGGTTCATAAGGCTGTGTAATATCTGGTAACTACTAAATTTTAAATGGCTTTATATTTATAAAGAATTGATTTCAACTTTCTGTTTGCACATTTTACAAAATAACACTTATTTCTACTTTAATCAAGAATCACGATAACATTTAACATTTTGTTCTATACATAAACTATTATAACCGTGATGTAAAGATTTTTAATAATAATGCAAGCTACGGATTTATTGAGAATATTCTATAGTCAAATTCAATTGAAATAAAATATAGGTACACCTCAGATAATATCATTTATTGTCTACTAGTTGTTGCTCACGACTTCGTCTACGTGAAATTAAAAAATAAATATATACTCAATGATCACGTAGTTTTTTAATGGTGAAACAATTTTTGAAATCGGTTCAATAGTTTTTGATTTATTTCAATACATACAAAAATACAAATCCTTCCTCTTTATAATATTAGTATAGATAGTATTTTCAGTGTCTTTACAGACTTGCAAAGGTAAAATTAATTATACAGGAATTTCTATTAAATTTGACTATAGTTAAATGGAGTAAGACAGTTTAGTTCACTACGCATTAATATCTTTGATGGTGTCTTGTCCCCTTGTGCGGTGTCATGCGGTGTCACGCGGTGTCATAGCGCGCCGGCGCCCATCTTGGCGAGGTGCGCCATCACCTGCTGCAGCGCGTCTTGCCGCGTGCCGTCCAGTATCGTCACGCGATTGTCCTTCTCTATCTAAACAACACATTACATATATAGTTAACAATATTTCATTATTATATGACAATAATGTTATGTATTTAAATTTGGGGTAAGAGAGTAACCGTTACCATACCCCTCCTATTACTGATAGATATCAAATTTGGAGCACTAAGGGGTAAAAGGCTTCCACTGACCCAACAAAATAACATTCGGAAATGCTCTTGAGACATCAAACTAGTGTAAATACTTTATTTTATTAATACTATAAATGCAAAAGTTAAGATGGATGTTTGTTAGTGTTTGTAGTCTGAACTGCTAAACAGATCTCGATATACTTAGTCATAGTCATGTGGATGGTCTGGGAGAACATGGCTATTTACTTGTGTTTATTTTTATTACACGGGGTCAGAGTCGCGGGCGAAAGCTAGCGAGTAATAAATAGAACGATCAATTGAAACGTTGTGAGCCCATCAAAGAACAGTATGTGAGTGGAGCGAGTGCATTGAGTATTGTCAATGGAGTGAGTGGAGTGAGTATAGTGAGTGCAGCGAGTGCAGTGTAGTGAGTGTAGTGAGTGTAGTGAGTGTAGTGAGTGTAGTGTGTGTAGTGAGTGCGGTGGGTGCGGTGGGTGCGGTGAGCGTGGTGAGCGGTGGCGACCTGCGCGCGGTACCGCAGGTGCTCGGGCCAGACGCAGCGCTCGAAGTAGCCGGCCACGTCGGGCGGCGAGTACAGGCGGTGCGCGCGCCGCACGGCGCACTCCGCGTACTCCAGCACCAAGTAGTACCTGCGCACCGCACACTGCTGTACACTGCTGCACACTGCTGCACACTGCTCTACACAGCAGTGCTCTGTACAGCAGTACAGAGCTGTACAGTGATGTACACTGCTGCACATTACTATGTACTGCTGTACAGTCGCGGACATACGCAGTGGTACATCTTAAAAATTAGTAGTTTGATGTACGTTGAGACGAGGAATAACAACCAATAGGAGGCAGCTTTTAAATGTATCGCACGAAATATGGTACAAAACTTTAAATTACTCCATTGTTAACGCAACTACCTAACTAATTGACAATTTGTAAGGCAGAGTTTGTCTCGTTGTAATGAACAAGGGAATTTCTCTGAAAGTGGAAGACCGCGGAATACCGCGACTGTACATGTATATATATCACAACTTACAACTTGATACTTTTCTAGCTTATAAAATTTACTAACTTTCCCAGTTTCTAACTTATAGATGTTATTTGTAAAATTCAGAATATAAAAATATAGTGTCTAGGGATCACTCTTTAAGAGATTTGGTAATTTTTACTTAAGATAATTTGGCAGCAAAAATGTCGTGAATGATCTAAAACTCTCTCTTATAAAGGTTTCTCTCGCTTATATAGGTTCAATTGTAATTGAAATTGTCACCAAGCCCACAGAATATAATATCAGAGACATTTTTAGGCATTTACATGTCTAAAACAATTTTTGATCGATCAACTTGTATGTCTATATTTTCTACAATCCTATAACATTATAAAAAATACCTAAAAACAATTATTTGTAGTTCTAGTAGAAAAAAATATAATAATATCACTGACCTTAGATTACAAATATTCATGATAGGTGCATAATTCAACACTGTAAAACCTTCTATGATCAAAAAACTCTTCCCTTTCACTTCTAATCTGCCTTTTTCTCTTTCCGTACAGGACATATGAGAACAATCCTGTCCCTCCATAGTGCTTACTATATCTCCATACATTTTCTCCATATCTAGAGACGATAGTATGTCATAATTATTATGTTCCATTCCTTCACACTTCACATGATGGGGACTATCGTCTGCATAGAAATATTTATCTTGATGAAAAACGTAAACCGGAGTTAATCTATCTTTCAATTGATTTGCTAAAGTAGTTTTCCCTCCGCAAGTGACTCCGGACACTCCGATCACAATCCAATTGTCCATATTGGTCATATTGAGTTACAGATGTGGGTATATGTGGTACAGAGTGAAGGACATTAGACCTCCAACAAAGAAAAAACCCCAAACAGCGCAGCCCAGTAATACCCACTTTGGATCAGGAATGTATTCATATATTAATAAATCTGAAAAATAAAACATGCTTTAAAGCTACAAAAATAAAATGTCAAATGAACGAAGATTGCCTAACTTACACTTCTTACTAATATTCATCATCCACTTGCCCTTATCCCTTATGAAGGGTCGGCACAGTATGTGCTGCTCTTCCATACATCTCTATCAGCCGTCATATCTGAATCCACTCCATTCTTAAGCATATCCTCTTTCACACAATCCAATTAACACTTTCTGGTTTATGTACCCATCATATACACTTCTTATAAATATTATAAATGCGAAATTGTAAATAGACTGATGGATGGATGATTTCTAGAATTTTTAGCCTAAACTGCTGAACTGATCTCAATGAAAATTAGGTTAGATAGAGTCTGGAAGAAAATAGGCTACTTACTTTATTTTTTTAATACCATGCGGACGGAGTCGCAGGCGTAAGCTAACTTGAGAGGAAAGATTTTTATTTTTGTATAAAAGAAAAAAACTCAAAAATTAAAAAATTCACCATTAGGACCAATTGACATAGGACATATAAAAAAAGTAATAAAGTAAATAGAATAACGGAGAGTCGTCAATCTTACCTTTGTCTATAAATGGATAGGTATTAACCCAGAACACAAGCACAATAAACACAGTAACTGTACACAATAGGATCAACTTTCCTAAAACAGCATCTGGTACATCCATATAAGCATTATTGTAAAACTTTACACCAATTAGCTGCAAAAATATTCCTTTTCAAAGCTTTTGTATGATTCTCCGGGGAACAAAATTGATTTGTGATCGTCCTTTTTAACATCAATCTTTTCCAATAACGGCTTACGTTTAACTGCTCTCTCTACAATCTAGAAACAAATGGATTTAGTTAGAAAACACTGCTGAAATCATTTATTAAATAATATTTAATTATATGCAAAATATTTTTGGATAAAACTTAAACGATATGACTACGAAATTTAAAACAATATTGTATAAACTTAGTTAAAAAAAAATATGGCAACACTGAAAGAATGTTCAAATAGTTATACTAGTAATCATACTAATATTATAAATGCAAAGGTTTAGATGGATTGATGTTTGTTTGAGTTTGTAGCCTAAACGGCTGAACAGATTTTAATGAGATTTGTAATACATGTAGAGGTTAGTCTGGAAAAACGCATATGCTACTTACTTTTGTTTTTTTTTTTTAATACGGGGATAAGCTAGTTTATTATAATGTGAATACTTTAAATTAAACAACCATACACAAAGCCATAACACACAACAGTGAACAGTACACACAAGACTTACAAAACCTTGTTATCTTATCACTACAAAACCAAGTAATAAATAACATGCTTGTAAGAAATTAAATTTGCTTACACATACATAAGCAATAAGCATTATATTAAATCAAGAAACAATGTAAAGCAAAAATTCCACTTGACAAATCAAGTTTTATGATTTTTAATCTGTATGTTACAACAACTTTATTAAGACTGAAGTTTTATAAATTTTATCAACAACATACTTTAAAATTGTAAATATTAAAAGTTTATATAGGTGGTTTCACTTATGTTCTCTGTTTGGAACATTGTATAATTCAGCTGCACAGAACACAATGGTATATGACTGTGGTTGGCAAACTTTTTAGCCAAAGTACCAAACATAAGTAAAACACAGCTTGCTTTTATCCTGAGACACCGAGATATTTGAAATGATGTATACTACTTAAGCAATGAAAAGATATGGTTACAATTACTTACTTTTTCAGCAACAGAACTATTTGCAGTAGGCTTTGATAAAGATAAAAGCTTTTTGATATTCTCCTCTGCTATTTCCTGTTCAGATTTTTTAATTTCTTGTGGCTTTTTATTCTTACGTCTATAAGGGTGATGTAAGTCTGGAAATACACATTGTTATTGAGATATGAGAAGATAATTTTTTATGGTTATGTTACAAGGTTGTAACGATTATTTTTATCACTACCAAGTTATTAAATATTAGTGACAGTTACGCACATCACAATGTTTTCTGTAGTACAACAAGTTTTTTTATAACGTAACAAGTGCAATATTTAAATTTTCCTATTGTAAAACAGATAACTGACCTCGAACTATGTTCGGTTCCTGAGGTTGCGTCTTTTTTCCCTGTCGTTTTTTCTGTTCGCTCTTTTCTGAAAGAAATATTTGTTGTTACTACCACGTTACATATTTATACTTACCGTAAATGTATAACAAACCTTCTCCTTCAACGAATGCAAGCGCTTGTCGTACTAAAGCTGATGACATTTTAATACAACCAAACTCTGCGAAAACATTTATTTTGGATTTCAAGCGATTATTTAATCTAACCTCTTTAAATTCACATCACAAAATGTGAAATTCTGAAACGTCAAAATCATAGAGTAAAGTTTATTTAATTAACGTCACACGTCACTGTCAAGTTAACATTGCCACAACGTTCGAAACTTACCTTTAAAAAAAGTAATATTTTTGGTATACTAATATAATTCTTTATTTTTTTGTTGTTGTTAGATCGTAGGCACAATGAATTTTGATTAAAATTTTTAACTTCAGATTGTGTATGTTGTACCGCGCGATCAACGGCAACTCCGCCGCGGGCCCGGAGCGGCGCGAGGACCCCGGGGCTCCGGCGCCTGCGCCAGCTCGATATGAGGTCTTTAATTCGTATAAATATATTACTGTTTATTTATTAATAAGTATGTAGAATGTTAGACGCGTTGTATCCGCATCCGGCGTGTGCAGGGCCCGCCGACGCCGTGCCCGGCGCGCGTGGAGTACGCGACGCCGGTGTTCGCGCGCAACTACCAGGGCGTGTGGCGCTACGTCGTGCAGATACCCTACGAGGGATACTTCACGCAGACTGTCGAAGTCACCAGGTCACTTAATTAATACTATTTCAGCTCTATATTTACATGTTTAAAACAAATTATTCTGTATTTCAACTCGTGAATGTAGTGTTTGTTGGTAAAATGTCGTTGTGAAGTGTCATGTTGTGTCGCAGATGTATGCAGTCGCGCTGCCACTTCCTGGAGGGCGGGTGTCTGAGCTCGCCGCGCTGGGTGTCGCTGCTGGTCGCTGAGCTGCACCAGCAGCCGCAGGTAACTGCACACCAACACAACAACACAACTACATTTACAACCACTGAGCAATACAACCGCACAACAACACAACTGTATAACAACACAACTGCACATCCAAACAACTGTACAACCATATAACAACACAACTTTACAACCACACAACAACACAGCATCACAGCATCACAACTAAATATGTATTTTGATCGTGTATATGTATAATTATGCGTGTGTCAGGAGGAGGCGGAGGGCAGCTCCGAGAAGGCCGCGCACTGCGACACCAACACGCCGCAGGGATGCTACCAGGTCACTTATATTTCTATTAACTAAACAATGCGATTCTAATTTAAACTTGCCTATAGGTTAGATTACCTTATTTTTTGAAGTCCCACTCAAAATTATTTTTCACCACATTACTAAGCCCTATAAGTTCTGAAACACAATTATATAATTCGTCCAAATAATTGGATGCCCATAAGGGCATCGCAAGGGAAGAGGAAAAGGGGCCGCTGTCACCACTAAAAACTAGAAAAACGTTAAATAGATAAAAAAAATTATTACAAATAAGACCATTTTGATGACTTCCTTCTAGACCTAGTCTCTAGACTGAAATCCTAATTTCAACTGGCGACGCTCATAAATCCAATTTTATTACTTGTACAAATAGGGATTCAGCCATGTTGTTGTTGTTGTTGTTGTTGTAAGTGGTTGTTGTGGCGCGGTGTGGTGCAGGTGCGGCTGTACTACGACTGGTTCCTGGTGCCGGGCTCCTGCAAGTGCTGGAGGCCGGACTACTTCGCGCGCTACGTGCGCAGACATCACGAACTATAAAACTATTACACTACTACTAAATATTGACATTATATCGTATTCTTAAAAATAATTAAAAACGAAAACCGACTTCAAGATAAAAAGTTTTAAGTTTTTGCGAAAAACTCAAAAACTACTGGGTAGTTTATCTAGAAGTTTTTGAGTTTTTAATAAGCAAATTATCAAACCAAATGACAGCTAATCCGCATCATACAAAAAATCACATAAATAGAATCATAAATCACAGAGAAATCATAGACAAATATAAAACTATCGAGCATATTAAAAGATCGATAACATTAGCAGCTCGCGCACACCTTTGACTAAACAATCGCACAACTGTTGTGTGATTATCGATTATTTCGCAACCAATTCAACTGTTTAGTTGCACAACTAAAAATCTGGTAGTGTACCTTCATAACCTTATAGGAATCAAAGAGAGACTAAACAATTGTGCGATAGTTTAGTCAAAGGTGTGCGGACGCTCTTAGTTCTTAAACCAAACATTTGAAGTCGGTAAAGAAAAGTAGGCGTACATAATGAAATAAATGTAAATCGTCAGTATTTTATGTATCTCTATAGAGTTAATCTCATTTGTTGTAATTAGATTTATTCCCTCTTACAATATATGTACTTGTCGGCTACTCTATGGCCGTGGCGAACATTGGGCTCTGGTAGGGCGGCCATGTTGCGTGAAGCGTCAAATAGTTAGTCTTGGGCTTAATCGGACATCCGCAAGTGCGCACCGTACTAGTACAATTGTGAAAACGTACTAGTACACACTTTTAGTACATTCAGTACTGATTTGTGACAACACAATAACATGAATAGAATATAACGAGGGTAATAGATTACTACACATCAAATTTTAGCTTATAAATTACTTTATCCACTTTTGATTCTTACTACCGGTAACGTTACTTTTACACAGTACAGTACAGTGCCGAGTAACATTACTTTTTAGTACATCGTGTACTATGTGTACTACCCAAGACTACAAATAGTTCGATTTGAGTCGCGATGGAGTGCGCGCGCCCTTGTGCCCGCCACGTAAATTCAATATCGAAACATATTGTTACGAGCTATAATTATTTAGTGGAAATACCAATAGTGATATTGAAGATTACAAGAACATCAACTATTAACAGTTATTGAAATACCTAAGTACCACGCCTACAAGAAAATCTCATAAATCCGATATTACCTGATGTTAGTCGAAAAACTTTATACATATACTTATTTTTCTTAATGTACTAAAGAATATATTTTATTATAACTCATTATTTATCTCTATAGTTATATTTATAAACGTTTAAACGTATAATTTATTTAATTAAAGCTATATTTTTATATTGGTCCTTCGAGTCGGATACAACCATACTTATATTTTTCTTTTATCCAAAGTATATTTTGAATGAAATTGTTTTTTATATTAATATCTTTTGTTAGGTCTCAGTATGTTAGCCTGAATGTTATTTTAATTACATATTGACATTTAACGATTGAAAAATATTTATGCTTTAAATTATATTTATGTATTCTTTTATAAGAAAGTTATTATATAAGAAATAAATAGTTATTACAGGGTTAAAATACATAATGTAAATAATATTATTGTTTTAAAAAAATATATAAAAATATATAAGATAGTTACGTGTCGCATAATATCGGTGCTAAATATGAATAGGAATATAAAGTGATTATATAACTGTATATTTTTAATAAGTAAAGTATATAATAATTTTTAGTACCAAGTTGAGGTTGCATTTATAGTTGTAATAAATTGTGCTAGTTTTAATTGCAAATATGTTTAAATTATTAATAAAGCACTTTCACCAAAATTAGATTTTTATTTCTCATTATCCTTATTTGATATTAACTTTGCTATATTTATGTGAAATATATTAAACTGACCTCATCTGTACCTATCCTAATATAATGAAACGTAAACACACACACTTCTTTGTTGCCTAAGATGTCAGCAATTACAGCATGTTTTTGAATGATTCTTTTTGTAATAAAAAGCCCTACACTTACGTCACACTTTAGGTTATATATTTTCATGCTATTAAACTTATGGGGTAAGCAAATTCGAAAAAAAAACCATGTGTGAACATTAAGGAAGTAAGGTTATTATGATAACGTTAATTTCTCATTTGCAATGAGAATTCGATAATTGTAAACAACAAAATAAAGTTTTTATAATTTGATGCGGACGAAGCCGCGCGGGCACGGCTAGTAGGAAATGAAAAGCATACAATATTTGTAAATTATATTTCGTGTATAATTATCATTAAACATTTTTCACAAACGTTACAATACTAAAAACTTACAAATAAGCTACATTTAGATCTACACGTTTCTAAGAATAAATATAACGTGAAGTTATGGAGATTTGGAATATTTTCAGTGTCACTACGCGCTCTAAGTTTGTGCCTCGAGAACAGTTATTGCAACTTGCTCTGCTGACCTACAATATAAATAAATCACTTATTTATTGCTTGAAGTTTGATTACAAAGCTTATGGACTGCTTGTGAACTCAGCCAATATTGACAATATGAGTCCCCTCCCCTGTCGCGCCGCTAGTCGACGGCACAGAGTCGATGTAGATTGTCTCATCCCTGCCATCTCTACTTAGATTCACAGCAGACACAGTTACACTATCACAACCATCACTTTTATCGATTGTATTTTGCCGTTTGGGCTCAATAGTGCTCCGCTGACTCTCCTCGCCGAGACTCTGCCCCTGTCCGTTGTAGAAATGTACGGAGGGAATGCCCTCCTTGGGGTTGGCGAAGGCGACGTAGCAGGCGGAGTATGGCGGCGGGGGCTCCTCGAGGGCGGAGGGCCGCTTGTCGCAGGCGGGCGGGCCGGGCGGCAGGCCGGAGGGTGCGCACGCGGAGTACGGCGGTGGAGGATCCGCACTGGCTTCAGACGGCGACCGGGAGGGCACGTCATCTCCCTCTAAGTATTGTTCTGAAAATAAATATCGTTACTCTATAACTAAATACCAACGTACGAGTACATCTGAAAGTAACTGACATGGCACAGACTTCTCTGGAACTTGGTTTAAAATTCCAGTACATTAACTATGAGTTGTCTTCACTTAAAATGCAGTAAACTGTAATTTTTTAGTGTTTTTTCCTTGATGGTGAGAGTTGAGGTTAAGATGACTAGTCTATCAGGCTAACTATGTTAAAATAATGATGAATACGTAAAGTCATCTACTTGACAAGCAAAATGGAATGGAAATGAGGAAGGAAGAGGATATCGAGATAAAAGACTCCTTAGTTATTATAACTCTAATTATCTAGATATGGAACATGTGACCCACAGTCAGTTGAATATTTTAAATTGAATAGAAATAAATATGTATGTAAGAAGATTAATGGGATATCAAATGTGAGATACAAAGCATGTCCGTCACCGAGGTATTGAGATAGAGCGGGGACTTACGCGAGGTCGCGAGGACGGTCGGTGTCGGCCATTCCTCCGACGGTCGTCTTCGCACTGAAACCACACGCACACCGGTACAGAAAGCTTTGAATCATCCCAAACATATTAAAACGCGATTTCTAAACATTTTTCTTTTAAGTTTGACGTTAAGAAGTGCCTCTAGTAAAGGTAATTATAAATTAAACCAAGGTATAGATATAGGAACAGATAGGACAGGAATTTCGGTTGAGGATTTTTTTGTCGTCGCTTTATCCTATCTAAAGACTCAAGGTCAATTGCCTTAACTTTTAGATAGTGCCAATGTTGGAAAGTATGTATGTACTGACGGTTGAGTATCCTCCTAGTGAGGCGGTCGACGAAGCGCACAAGCAGTAGCGCGGCCAGCAATAGCAGCGCTCCCGCCACCCAGCCGCTCGCCAGCCCGGCCCACTCGCCCCGCGCCCGCACCCCGCCACCGGCACCCTCTGCACCCACCGCTGTACCACCCCCAACCTCCTGCACAGACGACATGGGGCTTAGTCAAGGATTGCAGACCGATGAATTTTATCTAAAAGCCTTTTTACAGTGGTAAAGCCCGCTTTATCATCTTCGCACGAATGGGTCGGCTCGCACGGCGTAATACCACGACCATACAGAAGACAGGCGTGAAGTGGGAGCAATTCCGTGTTTCATCTGATAAGTGTTGTTTCGAGGCTCAACTTAAGTCCCCTTTCCTTCCAACCCTTTTGGGAAGGAAATGTGGATTTCACGGTGGAGGAGACTCATAGGAAGGGGATATATCCTCTTGCTCGTTTGCCACCTTATGATATAAAAAAAAATCCTTGGAATCTCCTAACACTTGTATAATTAAACGTATGCTTTTGTTAACAAACAGACTTGCAAGTACAAGTGCTTGTTATTCTAATTTAATGAGCGTACTTACGAAATGTGGTGGTGGGCTGGCGGGCAGCCGCAGCCAGTGTGGTGGAAATGTGCCCGCGCCCGGCATACGACCCAGCGTCTTGTCTAGTCTGGAACGTAACGAGTACTAATTGTTTTAACATATTGAAGAAACCTAACCAACTTATATGCACTAATTATGCAACTGTCTTTGTAGAGTATTGTAGAGTACAGCAAAGTTGTTACAAAACTAAATTACCGAATAATGGGTTCATCGCCTTTAGACGAGTAGAATATGAAATCATGGCTGGCGACGTGCGGCCAGTTTAGGGGCGGCCTCTGTATTGCCTGCAATTCCCGCAGCGACTGCAGTGACTGCAGAGATTGTAGTGACTGTAGCGACTGCAAGGATTGCAGTGATTGCAGGGACTTGAGCGATTTGAGGGCTTTGAGGGTCTGTAGCGTGATGAGAGGGTCCTTGGGGTCGTGCAGGCCGCCGAGCGCGCGTCGCGAGCCCCACACACTTGCTAGCGAGGGCCATTTCGTTGGATGCATCTCACATCTGCAAAGAGGAAATAAATCTGTTTTTAATTAAGAAACAAAATACGTCTGCATATGCTTATGTCTAGATTAGCTTGATTACGGTATTCAATGTGTAGTGTTTAGTTTTTGTTTTGCGGAGTTCCATTGCTCAAACATCCGTACAAAACATATCGACGTCCTTGTTTAAATTTATGATAAAACTGAGACAGCAATATATTTCTGTACGAGTGCAAGAGTGGCTCAACGTAAGTAGTTCAACAACAGATTAGTCGTTGTGTATTGATTCCTGCCGATGTTTAATTTAATTATCATAAACAGGATATGTGCTAAATGTGGTTTGTAAATGTATTTACAACCTTAGTCAAATATAATAAGTGCTATTTTGCTTTAAAAAGCTTAAAAATTTTCGGTTTTTGAGAAATTTGTTCAGGGATATCGTTAAATTAAGTTAGTTTCTATTGAATTCCGATGATTTTATGAATTATTAATAAATTTACTTTGATATAATGCTGAAACGTTGCTAAGTAACTCTTTGTTAGTAAACATAGGATATCAATTTGTTTTAATTACAGAGCAGCGAGAAATAATATTAAACACTGTCAAAGATCGCGCTGATTTCATTCTGAGTTGTCAAATGAATGTCGAAGGCAGTTATGTTTGCGATTGTACCTGACTGCATATCAACATTTGCACAATGGTCACACTCCATTTCAGCTGGTGCACTCCGATACTCGCGTAACATTACATATTTCTGGTACTAAACAATGCCACATGTTTTCAATACGAGTTACACTCTAGTTTGATAGACTGTCGACAGCCAAAAAACTATAAATATTTTATTGATGTCACTATTTGACCACAAGCTTAATATTATTTTAATTCTTAGGTTGTAAACACTAAACAAAGACACATCTTTACTGAATATTGATAGAAATATTCTAGCTTTGATTTTACACTAATATCAAGGGACAGTAATTTGTTTTAAAAAACTTAGTATTTGTAACCAAAGATGTGTAACAAGATCTGCAGTGGAGTCCGCATTGCTTCAGATGTTTCGTTAAACCATTATATAAAGATACAACTACATAATATGTGTTATTTACTTACCAATTATGTCCTAGGTTGACCTAAGGCCTAGTCCACTTTGTGGGTTTGGGATTGGGGCTTGAGCAACGCACTGTGGGTGTAGAACTTGCAGTGGAAAGTGCAAGTGAGGCATGTAAACACGAGGGATGCGACACGCATGCGCGGGACTTAAGAGGGGGTGTATGCGCGCGCCGCGGGGGAAGGGGCGACAACTAGAGGGGCTCGGCTGAGTATTACGTGTTACGATTACGACCCTTATACACTAGTATTTGTTATGAAAACATTTATTTCTATGCCTGACCTTCTTTCTTCTAGCTTATGTAAATACATATTACATTATGTAATATGCAATCCGAAGTGGTTTACTGTTTAGGTTCAAAACAGTTGTTACTTTTTTATCGCAATTTATTAGCTCTGGCCTGCACTGTTTTATTTTTTTTTACTTATGTTAACATTATTAACTATGTCGCTAACAGTTTCAGTCTATAGTTAGTATTGCATTTTTTATTATCTTTGGACAGTGCTGTCGATGCGCTGTCGTTTTCCTCAAGTTCTAAGTCTTGGTAAGTGGTAATTAAACTAAAAATGAATAAACATTGATATTTGAAATATAATTTATTTAAGAATATTATTAACAAGAATACATGTAGCTATCTATGCCGCGGCAAGCCGACGCACAATATATTATACATCTGTTTGTTTCTCTGCAATTTACTTTATATATTAATAGTTAATTTGCTGTAACATTTATCATAAAATATAATGGACATAACATTTTATGTAACTATAACTAGTCAAAAATAACAATAATACATCTATGGGTTGGAAATTATTATTTTACATAAAGACGAAATTGTACTATTAACGCTTATTGTTCTTTGCATTCATGCCCTCGCGCTCGCTCTATTAAGGTATTTTTAGATGTAACTACTGCCTTTTAATACCTTACTAATTCAACATCATTTATAATAAAGTTCCAATCTCAGATATATAGTTTAAAGTTCTGCATTTGTATCCAGTTTTAAGACATTACTTAAATCTCTCTCGCAAAATTCAAGACCTGTAGAAGTTCACTATGCTCCATTATATAGCGGTCTCCTTGCGCTGTGCGATAGCTAACACCTGTAGCTCATCATACGCTGGCGGCGGCTCGTCGCAACCCTCTAGCTCGTAGTCCAAGTCGCTTTCTGTAACACAACCTTGATAAAGAAAAAAAAACACATTGATTCCATTAAAAGTAAAGAACTTTAGGTAGAATGGCACATTCTACGGGGCATGCTCGTCCCCGTTCTTCTCTATTTTCCCTGCGAATGTTGGTCACTGATGGTTGTAATCACATGAATAATATCTCTTTAAAAAGTATAGCTTTCTTAACTAGTAGCACATTACCGGAGAGTGCGGCGGAGTGTGGCCGCATCAGAGGTGCGAGCACATCGCCGGCGCTGGCGTGCCGCGCGCGCACTACGCCCCGCGCGCTAGTACTCGCCCCACTACTGCCTCGCAGGCACGTGCCCTCCAACACACGGACTGGCTCTAAATAGTAAACAATCATTAGTCTCTATGATATCAACAGCAATAGAAGTGGTCCTAACAAGTATAATAAACTAAACCATGTAGTTAAGAGGAGGCTGAAAACCAGCGGGGCTTTCATTGACAAGATGGAGGCCGCATTAATATGCTTTGTAAATTTTATTTTTTGTTTTGTTTTTAGTAAATAAGTAGTTTTTTATTTTATTAAGTATAGTTGACCTGCTGCAGGCGGCGAGTAGGGTAGTTCTGGCGTGTCGCAGTAGCTGGCCCTAGAGTTGAAGTGGTGCACGGCCCCCGAGCGGTCCATCTCCTCCCCGGACACCTGCAGCTCGGCCAGAGGACACAGAATATTCCGCGGTCGCTCCCGATATTTGATGGACTCGTTCACACACTGCTTCACCTCTTTGGCTTTCGCTCTCTTCTCCTCGATGTTCCAAACTTTCAACTCTATGTTCTCCTTGTTGAGCATGCAGGACGCGTCCCCGATGTAAAAATTGGACATGCTGGAGGTCTGCTCCGTCACATCCTCGTCTTTTATGTCTTCCGCGGTTAATTCCTTGTATGAAGTTACTGCGGTCTCTGGCTTCTTGTTTCGCGAACTCTTTATGTTAGTGTAGTGCTTCTTGCAAGGTCTATTGATGACTTTTTCGTCGGTCTGTTGGTGTTGTACTTCGACCACTGTTGTCTTGTCAGTATTGGGGCTGGTGTAGGGCGTCAAAGCCTCAGCTTCAGGTTTAAGTGGGATATAGAGGTCTCTGTTGGAGCGCTCCCAGTCGCGGCGGTGCAATACCTCATCGATGACGCTGGGTGCAGAGTGATGTCGCGCGGGGTCTTCGCCCCCTTCATGGTGAGACTTGCGCCGGCTGCGGATCTCCTCGTGACTCCGGTGGGCAGACAAAGGTAGCTTTTTGAAACCTAATCATGAAAAACAAATTTCAATTGATGTGATCTATCTTACATTCAATAAGCATCTTACTTTGTTGAAGTAAGTTTCTAGATCTCCCCATTTCTAGTATTGTATTTCTAGCCAAATACGAAGTAAGTTTAAGTTATTATTGAATAACATTTTTAAGTAAAAGTGATGTCACATGATCATCTCAATGTTGACCTAAAATGTTAACCTTGAGACATAAAGTTAGGTTCCTTTGACATAGTTGTTGTGACCTAGTATACTGTGACGTCACTGACCCGGTGTAGGGGGGAGGTGGAGGGAGACGGCGCTGCTGCCAAAGCGGCCGCCGAGCAGCTCGCCCGAGCGGAGACCCGACTCTGGAAACACATCGCATTACATTTAGTTCAAGGTGAAAAGTGTAAACATATCGAGTAAAACATTTGGCAGTTTGTACTACTCAAACTTACCACTGGTAATAACCGGTCTTCTAGGATGCTTCTCAGAGCTCGTGTCTGCGAACAAAAAAAAAATCTTCAATTAATGAAACAAGAAGATCGTCTTCATTGCACACATTGTGTAGAGGACCATGGTAAATTAATGTTTTAGCTATTCACAAACAAATAAATAATCTAGACCTAGAATATGTAATAGCTATGTCAATAAGATCTTCTAGAATAGCGCTCTTACACGATCAAAGTCAGCAGTTCATTGTATAAGAACAGAGTCCTCCTCCAAGGTCTGCGTAAACTACGTGAGAAATCTTTGACTTTCAACAGTTCATGGATAGTTGCATAGTATCTGGTAGAGAGCGTACCTGAGTTGGCGTCGTCCGGCCAGCAGCACAGCCAGCACAGCAGCAGCAGCGGCGCGCACACCTCCACACCCATCAGTGCTGCAGCACCTCCAATACCTCCCATCGCACCTTTACACCTCCGCACCTCCCGATATCTATAACTCTACACCTCCGCTCGTCGTACCTTTGTAGCTCTATCTACCCCTCTGCACTTTTACCACACCTGTTGACGATTTATGATTGCCGGATAACTATGATTTGGGAGTGCCTTAAATTTATCGAAAAGAATTGAACTTGGAACTAATTTGTACACTTGCCTAAATTTTACATCCAAATACCAGTTCTTGTATAAAAATTCGTTAATCGTTCACTGGAGAAAACGACAATGCAATAATTGTTAAGGTAAATCTGAAAACTTGAAGTAAACATCTGAAAGCGCCTGCTAGTTTTCATTCTTTTGTACTTTTTAATTCCATTAAACATAAGTAAATATGTTTTGAAAAGAATATTTACCAAAATTAAAACTAACTAGTTACAGTATTTTTTTCACTTAAATAAAATTAATTTTAAACAAGAGTGAGTTCCCATTAAATTAATAAAAAAAATCACGTTCACTGTATATTGTCTTACCTCTGGTAGAGCACTAGTCTACATAATAACACTGAAGTTATTTCTGTTTGTTGATGCAGATGTAGTTTTTAGTAGTGGGATAGTTTCACTTTCGCCGCTCGCCGCAGACTCCTCGGACTCCGTTGACTCCACGGGGATGTTCGCCACAACAAAATGCGCGCACTTCTCCTCTCCCTATACCTTCGCTGAAATACACGAAAGAATGATAAAGTTCGGGACACACCGAGACACTTGCAATATTCAATTTCGGCATTGAAAAATTTTCTTTTTGTAAAGTTTAGTGATTTTCACTGATTT